CCCCCGGCACAGGTCTGTGTTGGTCAGGTCTGTGTGTCCTTGCCCTTTGCAGTGTGAATGCAGAAGGGACCGTGTTGCCATCAGCAAAAGCACTTCTGCAGCTTTCCCTGTATCCCTTTTGAGTGCTGCAAATGTTCCTGCCAAGAGAAACTGTTATCTTAAGTTTTTTCAGAAGGACAAAAAGATTCCTGCTAGATACCAGAGCAGAAATTTGGCTGGGGGAGGAAAAGCCAGTTTCCAGGAGAAGGGAGTTCAGTGAAGTCTTTCTTCCTAGAGCTGACTGATGAATTTTATTTGCTTAATGACATTTCTCACAGTTTATGATATTGAGAATGGCAACAAAAGGGTGTTCAGCTGGTCCTTCCACAGGGTTTGCTGAATCAGTGGGATGAGGGAGAGCCTGGAGAAGAAAGGACGGTGCTGGATGGGTCTATCTTTCCCTTAATGAGCAAATGTGCAATAGCTTGGGCAGAGAGCTGAGCTCTTCCCCTATTTCTAGCCACAAGGTCATTGCCACACCTGCAATGTCCCAGCCCCATCTGGTATTTGCAGTATTCTCTGCTAATTCCAATCTCATTTACAGTCTAATCCAACGTGGATGTGTAAAACCGCGTGAACTGTCCAAAGAGACGGGCGTGCTGGCTTGGCTTTGGGTCTCACCTGTTAGCGAGGTGCTCAGCTGCGGCTCGTGTATCCACAGGGGATTTTAGTAGCAGTCGGAGGAATGATTCGGGCAGTGTTTCTGGGATATGGCCAGAAAGGACAGGAGCAGTGCTTTGTCCTGCACTAGCACAAAAACAATTAGAGCATTAGAGCCCTGCCAGAGGAGCAAATAAAACAGCAGATGCATTTAACCCTCCCTCTCCCACCCATCCAGCTGGGGTGTGAAGCTGGAGCAGCCACCACGACCCAGCCGGTGCTGCTGGGAGCAGCAGGGCTGGGACGGGGGCTGCAGGCATTGCCCGCATGCCTCCCCGTGGCTTGGTGTGGGGCTGCTGCTCCTCCTTGCAAAGAATTCACCGGCACTATTTTTAACAGCGCTGCCTGGGGAGATGGCTCAGGGTGAAACTGGGAAGTGCTCATCTCGGGCGGTAGTGCCTTGCTTGGGACGGAGAGTGCCAGCCTTGGTTTGTAAATGTCCCTCTTTGTGTGTATTGACCCCGTTGGACATGTTTAATGTTCGTGGTTTGTCTTCCAGCACTGTTTTGAAAAGGGGCTCTTGAACTTTGCTGCTGGGCGCTATAAAATCCATGGCACTATAAAATCTCTGTCTCAGTTTCATCCTGACCTCTTCCATCTCCAGACTTGCTCCTCTGCTGTTTTTTCCACGTGCTGCTTTTTACAGAGAGGCTGGGAGCTGACAGCACAACCAGCAGTAAATAAAAAAGTATGGCCCTGATTCAAGTGCTGCCTGAAAAGTAACAAATTTATATGCATGTAATAAAAGGCCAGCATTTTCCTTTTTGCAAAAGGAATTTGCAATGATTCTGGGTTTTGAGCAGATCTTAACCTTGGAAGAAATTTTTCCTCTTAGGTATTTCATCTCTAAGGTTTGAAGATCACTTTCCTGCCTCCTGCAAACCTCCTGAGCTTTTTTTTTTCCACCACTGCACCCAGCAGACCCTGGTACATGGGCTGGGAGAGGCTGCAGCGCTCCTGGTTGCATGTGCTGAGCTCTCCCAGGGTGGCTGGTGTTTGTCTCCTGCTTTGCAACCAGGGCCAAGTTTTTTCTCTGCATTGAGCTCCCAGGCACTGCCAGCCCTGTGGAAAAGTAATTAATTCAGAAATACTCTAGGCAAGTTAGATGTTATTGTTGTGGCTGGGCCCTTTCATCCAGGCTGTGCTTTGCCACACGGTGTTAACAAAAGCCTGAGCGCAGCTTTTTGGAGGGCGGCAAACAGCAGTGCTGTCCCTTTGTGCCCCAGGGATGTGCGGCACAGACAGGGGAGGTGGCAGAGACATACCTAGAACACCATGCTGTGTGTTCATCACCTGGCTGCTAGCTGTAATAAGTGATCTCAGCGACATCAGGACCCAGTGCAGGGCATCAGCATCCCTGCCAGGGGCCAGGCTGCTGGCCGGGGGAGCGCCTCCCTTCCCTGGGATGCCAGCAAGGCCAACACGTGGTGGTGGCCAGAGGTGCCAGATTTGCAGCTGCATTCATCTCAGCCCCCCCAAATTGAGTGCTTCTGGACAATTTTGCAAGCAGGGGGACAGGAGCAGAGGTCAGGTGTGTCCTGCTGAGGGAGGAGCTGGGCGAAGCTGCCATGCAGCTTGCGGCCCCAGGGCAGTGGGGGATTCAAAAGTCATGCCACTCAGCTTGCTGTCACAGCTCTGTGCATGGAGCTCAGGAGCTGCCCTGTGGCCTCCCTGACTGTGCCCAGGAGGGCTTGTTGCAGAGCCCTGCAAGCCTCAGGGCCGCAGTGGCCCGCTGAGATGGCTCAGCCCCACTGGCTCAGCTCCTCAGCACCTGCACCGTCCTTGCTGCAGCCTCTGCAACCCAGGTTGGGGTCTTCCCGGCCTCACCATCTCTTTGCCCACAGGAACTGAAGTACTCAAGTCCCACGCAGCAGCCAGAGAGCATCCAGCAGCTTTTTTTGGAGGAAAGGAAATCTCCAGCAGGAGAAAAGCATAATTGGGACCTGCCTTGTCACCTCCGACACCCCCAGGCTGTTCCCTTGTGTTGGCCACAGTCACTGGGGGAGAGCTGAGCATGTGGGAGCTGCCTCCACCCATTTGATAACACATCAGCATGAGTCTGGCTGCGTCCCTTCTAGCAGGGGGAGCAGACCCTGCATCCAGTCTACTTCCAGACTACTTTTTTGGAAGTCACCTTTAGGAAAGCATTCACCTGTTTGCTAGGAGCTGCCTGCTGCTCCTCCAGCTGGGGCCAGCTGGCTGGTTGTCTGGCTGGGACGTGGCTGGGATAGCCTCTGCCTGGCTCAGCAAGCAGCTGAAATGGGGGATTTTATCTCTGTGTGGTGAATCCCATCCTCCAAGGGCAGCAGGACAGAGCCGGGGGTTGGAGCACGTTGTACCGGGGTGAAGAGCTGGATCCTCACTTTGCAAACGTCATCTCCCTGCTGGCGCCGGTCAGGCTCTGTGCCCCACGTGCAGTGCGCCCAGCCTGCTCTGATCCCCAAGGCATGGAAAGCACAGAAACATCCCCCTTGGCCCCTGCCAGATTATAGTGGAATTAATCACACTGATTATATGCTACCAAAAAAGGAGGTGCTTTCTCTGTTCAGAGCTGCCTCAGACCTCCTGCTTGGGAGCAGCGGCTTAAAATTGCTGTTTTCTGCCTCATCATGTCTTGTTTCTGGGTTTTTCAGGAGCTGTAAGAATTTTGGATAAAAAGACCAAGAATGACAGCAATCCCAGGCAGCTCAGCCTGCAGAGAAAGTGGGGAGATAAGGTGTGAGTGTGAGCAGGGAGGTGAATCATGGCTCCGGCAGAGCGGGATGGCATCCCAGGGAGAGACAGGCTGAGCCACGGCAGCTCCACACCCTCTTCTCTATCACAGGGCCCTGAACAGTGTTTTCGGCTCCCTGTCAAGTCACACTGGTGCCTGTATCAGTTGGGACGAATGCCCTACGTTTAATTCTTCCCCTGCAGCTACTCATAGTGGGGGGTGTGTGTATATATGTGTGTGTATATATATATCTCTTCTACCTTCTAAGGGTCTCAGGACAGCGTTTCTATCACCTTTCATTGCACCTGTCGAGCATTCAGGCTAAAGCTAGTCCTGTCTGCATACTGCATCTCAGTTTAATGGGGAAGAATTAACCCTGATTTCATGACTGACAGTCCAAAAATTCCTCTGAAGCATTTTCACTGCAGGGGTGAGAATGGCATCTTTCCTCATTTTTTGTCCTAAAACATGACCAGATACCAGCCTGAGTCTGAAAAGGGGTCATCAGACACCATAGGACCACATTTGTGTGTTTCAGGGCTGCTAACTGCTTATCTAACTGTCCACACAAAAATACATGGTTTTGCACGTGCAGCCAGTGTATGCTCCATTACATGCAGCAAGGGAGATATGGAGAGCCTCGGCAAACAGGATAGTGAGAGCACGGGGGAAGCAGCTCTCCGTAGGCCCCGTGTGGAACAAAGCAGCTGAATGTATGGTGCTTTGCCCTCCCTTATTTTTAAGGTGTGATTTTTGCTGTTTGAAGTCAGCTCCTTCCCAGATCGCGAACAGCTGGGCTGTAAAGCCAGACATGCTTTTAGCATAAAGATCACAGGGCCCTGAGTGCAAGGCATGCGAGGAATACAACAGCCGGCCAGCGAAATAACTCTGATAGCCCGATAGCCCTCCAGAGCAAGGAGGAGATGTGCTGGGAAGGAGCAGAGAGGACTCAGGGAGCCAGGCTGTGAGGGAGGCAATAGCTCTGCCTTTCCTAGCACCTGTGAGAGCAGCCCCCAGGCTGTGGTGAGTAAAGGACTCCTTTGGCCGAGCTGTGCTGTTTGCTGGAGAGGTAAAGGAGAAATATTCAGGGTAAAATGTGACTGGTGTACTGGGCAGGGGCATGGTGCCACTGGCGAGGTGCAGCTCAGGGCTGGTGACAGCACAGCTGTGTTCAGTGGTATTATCCCTTCATGATCCAAAGATGCCTGCGACAATGCTTTAGGCATTCTTCTGGCTGGGTTTTCAGTTCTTTGCAGCACGGTGGCAAGCCCATTTTGCAACACCTGCTGCCTTGCTGCAACACGTGAGCATGCTCGTGTTTGCAGATACACCGATACACCTTCCCCGTTTCCTTGTGCCGCTAAGTGCAACCTTCGCACCTGAGCATTAAGCATCTGGGCCCCTTACCTGTTGAAAATCTGGTCTTTTCTCCCCGAGTGCGGGGTTTTTGGGTCGAGGGGGCAGGCTCTGAGTGCTGTGTTATGCCAGATGTGTTCATTTGGTTTTGTTCCTGGACAGGGTCCTCTGCTCATGCTGGGCTGATCTCAGCTCAGACAGTGCTCACTGTTGTCCCCTCTTCTTTCTGCAGGACAGCTCACGCCAAAGCCAAGGCCGAAGGGTCTGAGCAGGCAGCTCAGGCAGCTAACAACGAATCGGGCATAGCCAGGATGATGGCCAGGGAGCTCTCCCCAGACTTCTACCAGCCAGGTAGGACCAGAGGCATCTTCTAAGAAAGATTTTGCAATTTCCTTGGGGCATCTGTTCAAATGCTTCAGCCACATTATCACTCTGCAGGTTGCCCTCCTTTCTATCCTAAACCCTCTTTTCCACAAGCTCAGCCAGCCCCCTGCCCTGCGTGATTTGCTGTCCTCCTTACACTGCTGTTTTACTTGCTGGAATATGTTACCGTAGCCTGGAGGAAGAGTCCACAGTCCGTCAGCCTCCCCTTGTGTTTCTCCACACGCTGAAGCCCTCCCAGCACCAGACAGGGCAGACAGCAAGCTTGGGTCTATTTGCAGTGCTCCTGTAGATATATCCCTCGTGGATTTTTCTTGGAACAGCTTTGCACATTGACTCACAAGCCCGTATCCTGTGGGGCCCCGCACTGCACCAGGGTACGATCAGACTCTGATAATTAGGGACTGTAATATCTTATAAGGAAGTTAATAATGCAAAATATTACTTCCCTGGTTCCCTATTTCTTTGTTAGCATCACTGCTGATTATTTGGCTGGGAAAACACTTGGGAGGTTCCTTCTGTGAGACCAAGCACTGAGGATTAGTAGATAGGAAGTGTAATATTAGAAGCAGCATTGTGAATGCCATTACCTTTCTCTAGACTGAGTGAGCTAGAAATATGTTCTTCCTGGAAAGCTTTCCTTTCCACAGAGCGAAGGTAGTAACAGAGCAGAAAGCAAGGATCCAAGTGCCTACATTTTCATCCTGTCTTTCTTATTATCCAGCTCTGTTACCTGCAAAACTGGGGGTAGGGGCCAAACATTGGCTCCTGCTCTACAAAACCTGCTTGTGATGTGATTTCAGTGCCTCCAGGTCTCTGGTACTACACCCAGCACAGGGCACGCAGTGGGAAAGGAGAATGGCTCATACTGGTGCTTGGCCTGGGAGAGTCATGCTGACAGATTTGCCTAAATTCCCCGTACTCTCCACCTTGCTCTGCACCTACTATCTGGGGAGGTGCCACGCTGGAGGGCTGCCCGTTCCTCCCTGCAGCCCAGCGAGGCCTGTTGGAGCTGGCTTTGAGCAGGGAAACACCACAATGCCCGGGCACGGGCGTGAGCCAGCCAGTGGCACTTCATTTAACAATAGCTAAATGTTGCTTGATCCTGACATAAACCCCCCAGCTGGCACTCACCGCTCCACATTCACCCTTTGCGCACAAGCGTATTTATAGCACAGAGGCAAAGGAAACTGGAATTCCTGATGGGAGGTTTTGGCATCTAGATAGATTGTTTTTTCCACCCATGGCAATTGAATGAGACAATTGAAACAGTCTGTGCAAAATGCCTGGAGCAGCCTGGCCTCCGCTTCTGGCTCTTCGGGTACTGAATCCTCTTGCCTCTTTTATGTAGGGCTTTGCTTGGGTTCTGGCCTCTCCCAATGACCCTGTAAGCTGCTGATGCTCATTTTTCTTCTATGATTCTTTTAAATCTCTGTATTCCCTAAGTGCACAACAGGGGCAAATGTCTCTTGCACGGATGCACTGTCCAGGAACAAACAGAAGTCCACCCTTGGATTTTGCTAGGAGCCAGGGCTGCTGGTCGCACAGCCAGGAGAGCCTGGCAGTGTTTGGCAGCTCCGTTTCCCCCTGCTATCCCTGGGTTTGGCACAGGACAATCCTGCTCACCAAGCATCACCTCTCTAACAAGTATTTAGCCCTGGGTTTCATTTAGGATATCAACCTTAATAGCTTAGAGGAGAGGGATGTAAGCCAAAGCCCTTGCTGAAAGTTCATGCTGGGAGGTTAAGGTGGGGAGGTGAGGAGGATTGGGGCTGTGCAGCCTTCCAGACAGTTGGGTTTTTCTGGTGTGAATTATTCAGGAGGAGAAGAAAGCAGCAGGAGAGAGCAAGCAGCCTGGAGCTGCAGGCAGCCTGTTTTGAGGAGTCTGAACAACTGGTGAAACAGCTTCCAAATAATACACTTGCAGCCAGAAATAAATGGCCCTGAATGGGTCGCCTGCTGACTGACAGGAGCGTGCAGGCAGGACAGAGCAGCTAAAATCAGTGCCCTCTCTCCCCACCACCCCCTCCGAGTGCGGGCATTGCCTGCGTGGGCAGGAGGGAGCAGCGTGCAAATCACACCACTATTTATTAGAGGGAAAGGAGCACCAATCCCAATTTCCCAACCAGGCTCAAGTCTGCATTAGTCCTTGGGATGGAGAAGACGAGGGGAGGAACTGTGAGGTAGCTGGGGACAGTGCGGTTCCGGGGACGGTGCAGTTCCATGGTCTGTGCTGTTCAGGAGCACTGAGCAAGCCTTGTACGTCTGCACCCCTCAGCATCTCTTGGATTCAGCAGCATGAGGCCAAAGCCACTTTCAAAAGCAGGTGCTTTCCTTTCAAACAAGCTGCCTTGCGACCTTGTGCTGCCCATGAGGAGCTTGTTGTTGTCACTTGCTGTAAGCACTGTGGTGCTGTGCGGGTCCCCTGTCCCAGCGCAGGTCCCAGCATGCAGAGCACAGTGCAGGGCTGGTATTCCAAAGGACATTCCAAGTTGTTCAGTGGTGGATTTTGCTCAGCCAGCCACCCGACATGATGGATATCTTCGATATCAGGCTCTAGCTGACTTCCCAGGACCCTAGCTGGGCTGCGATTTGCTTTGCAGACATGGGTTGACAAGAAGTACAGATTTAATGATAGGTGAATAATTGGAGTGAGGGCAATGTTGCTAAGAGCTGACAAGTCAGCATGGGAGATGAGGCCAGAATGAAAGCCGAAGCCCTGAGTCACCTTGTGTGATGGTGCCGGGTGATTTTGCTGCTGTTGGAGTGCTCAGGGCAGAGAGGGGAGGGCCCTGCTCCATGCATGAGAAATGTGTTTTTGTCATCGCAAGGGATGACAGGTAGATCGTTTGGGGATACCTGCCTTTCCTGAGGAGACAGGGCAGCCCCCAGTATCAGTTGTCAAGTTGCCATGCTATTAGACACTGAAGAAGCCACATGGATGAGTTTCCCAGACATTTAAAAAACAAACTTGGATGGGAGCTGGATCCTCTTTAGCCCCAAGATAACCATCTGTGTGACCACAAACATCTGGGCTTCAGATTTTCACTGTTTCTTTACCCCCGTCCAGAGCTCCCCGCCTGCTCCTTCAGCTCTTCCCAGCTGGACAGCACGTGGCAGGGCTCGGAGCCTCCTGGGGGAAATCGCTGCGGGAAACAGGCTCTGGTTTGTGAGCAGCTCCTCTCCCAGGCCCTGTGGCTCCAGCCCTGACCCTTTTGCTCTTGTCCCCAAACCTATCGGGGCTGGGGACGTAGCTGTCAAAGGCTCGATGGTGGCAGGGAGCTGGAGCAGCCTGCTGTCCCTCCAGCCCCGGGGCAGCTCCTCACACTGACCCCTCTCTCCACAGGCCCCGAGTACCAGAAGCGGAAGCTGCTGCAGGAGATCATGGAGAACACGGAGCATGCCGTCAACATGGAGGAGGAGGCGCCGCGGCC